TTCTGCCTCTGTAACATTTACTAACATGTAAAGTAAAAGTGTGAAAGTGTTAGCAAGTGTGTTGATTTATCTAAGTCCCAGCCATCAGTATGTCAAGGGCAGTATGCTAGAGCTAGTTGTCATGTAGCCTGCTCATAAGTGGTGTTTCTACCACAGATATTCATCAGAGGCTTGAGGGTTTTTATTTTTGTTTTTTGGTGGTGGGTGGAGGAAGGAAGCTTGAGGTTTTGAATATTCAGAATGATCTTAGGTAAATACTTGCACTAAATGTAAAGACCTATATGATACACACCCTGAATTTAGGGCTGCGGCAGAGCTTCAGTACCTCCAGAGGCTGGCAGGTATATATTTTGATAATGGGGAAAAATGCACCCTAGGAGCTTTAGTTTTTCAGTTTCCCATTAAAAAGACACTACCACTTTGGCTTTAAAAGAAAAAGAATAGAAAACGATATGTATTTGCCTTGTCAGCATTCTTGTTTTTTCATTAGTGCAGTTGCCTTGCTCTGTAACTCATCTTGACCTATAAAAAAAAACAGTTGCCATCGAATCGACCCCAACTCAGGGCAACCCAGGCTCGTGGCAACCCTACGTGTGTCAGAGTAGCACCGCGCTCCTTTGGATTTTTAATGGCTGATTTTTCAGAAGTAGATCACCAGGCTTTTCTTCTGAGGCACTTCTGGGTGGACTCAAACATCCAACCTTTCAGTTGGTAGCTGAGTACTTTAACTGTTTGCACCACCATAGACTCCCCTTGGCCTGTAGAGCTGCCCAAAAGGACCGCCTTCCCCGAGAATAAGATTAGGGACAGCAGTTCTGATTCTATCTCCATGTTGCAGATGTACAAACGTGAGAAAATTTCAATACCGAAGATACTTCATGTGAACCAAAGCAACTGATTTCCCTTTTTTTTTTAAAGACTATCATACTTATTAATATTTTCCCTATTTATAATCACTACGCAATCCCAGTTTCTGTTCGTACAGCCAGGTTTCAGGTAGATAAACAACTCAAGACCAGTATCCAGATGAGTTCTGCTTTGCATTTGTCCCTTACGCTTTCCGTCACACTGTTACTGGTAGGAATAATGTCTCTCTGCATCACCTGTGGCATCTCCCTTGCCATTTTATACAAGTTCAAATTCACGCTATTTTTGGAGATGGAAGCAGGAGGGACAGGCACAGGATGACTGCCTGCCTGCCTTCTGCTGTGTCCTGCAACTCACCCCAAGATGTTACCCAGATCTACCACTGTTTTCAGATCTTTTGCTCAGATAAAAAAGAAATTGAAAGGCATTTTTCTTATAAGAATACCCAACTTCTCGATTAAACTTATAGCAAGACTTTAATTAATTAGCAGGAAACCTTTGGAATAGAAACCACACAAATGAAATAGATTCTGCAATTTGGAAGGCGTTTAGTCATGACTTCTGGGCTGGCTTCCAGCTGGGGTAGGCAAAGGCTGTCTGTCCTAAGCAGGACCTGTGGAAATTTTTAGGAAACACTGAAGAAACGTTAACTGGGATTTTTCTCCTTACACTGAGTTAAAATGAGATTCAGAGAGACTCACCTGCTTGTCATGACCCAGGGCTGAATTTGTCAGGTCTCTTGTCAGCTGGTACGGGGCAAGGGGGGGCAGAATCAGCAACAAAGGAGCAATGAGGAAGTGTCATTTTGGCAGAGGACACATTGTAAAGCTTGAATTTAATTTTCTATCCTTGTGGAAATATGAATTTTTTTTTTTTTTTTTTTACAATTTCTGCTTGAAATATAAGTGTGAAAGCAAATAAAGTCGTGGGGAAACATGCTCCCCAATTTATGAAGGAAATGGTGTCTGATAAGGCATATTAAGGAATGTACATTGTTTAAAAAAGGAAAAGAAAGGATATTGAAAGATTTCCAAGAAATGATGTGTTTTATTTGAAAGAAAACAAATTGTATTTGCAACTCTAAACCAAATGTAGCAAATAATACGGCTCTTCTTTGGGTTTTGATAAATCACCTTGTTCGTTCCCTATGTCTCTGTGCGCGCAGACTGTTGGGCAGTTTGTCTTGTATCCTACCATTGTTAGACGATCAGTCATTACTGGGGGCAAAAGAACAGGAGGGAGCTTTTCCAAGGATGAAAGGGCAAGATCCTTAAAATGTCCTTTTCACTTGGCAATGAGACAGGAAAATTCCGCTGTTGGAATATGAGTAAGCGGCAGCACCACGCTGGGCAGAAAAGTCACAAGTGAAAAAAGTTAAATTCAAGTATTTACAAAAAACTCAGACAGCTTTTTAAAATTAAATTTCTTTCCTTAATAATAATAAAAAAAGCATATTTAGTGTTTAGAAAAGAACATCTAAACAAGCAAGAGAAAGCAAATAAAAATTATTTTAATCCCACATTCTAAGTAGAAGCCATAATATTTATGCTCTTTATAACCTGCCTTGTATCCCTAACAATATTTCCGTGTCATTAAATATTATTCCCCCATCACTTTTGTCACCTGCATATTATTTTAATTTTAGAGTTCTGTTGTAGTTCAACTGATACACTGTAGTATAGTAATTTAAGAGTGTGCAACTGTATAGTTAACTAATCCCTCGTTGGACATTTTTGTTGTCAATTTTTTTCACTATTCTGAACATTCTCTCATCCGCTTTTCTTTTAGCAAAACTCTTTGAGTCCATTTTAAATTATGTTGTTGGAATAAAATTCCTGATTCAGAGGATATACACATCTTAAAGCTGTTTGAAAATATGAACAGCCCAACAGCCTGCTGAAATGTCCTAATTTGTACTCTACTGTTTGTCTAGGAGTGTGTCCATTTCCCAACACCTGGGTTCATACTGGACTTGTGTTCCCTTAGGTTTTCTAGTTTTCCTAGGAAAAATTAAAAAAAACAAACAAACCTGTTCCCATCCAGTCGATTCTGACTCGTAATGACCTATAGGGGACAGTAGAACCGCCCCACAGGGTTTCCAAGGAGCGGCTGGTGGATTCAAACTGCTGACCTTTTGGTGAGCAGCTGAACTCTTAACCACTGTGCCACCAGGGCTCCTAGGAAAAATAGCAGCGAGGTATTTGAGGAGTTCTAACTAATCTGGGAACTTCTAAGTGCTGTTTTACTTACTTAGTTGAGGTCATTTTTCCACACTTGGGCTGTATTAGGAGCGGTGGACCGAGTCCAATAGCTATTTTAAAGATATGTAAAGAGCTTATTAACTGTATAAATTATTACCCCCTCCCCCAGGAGTCACATATATGACACAGATGAAGAAGTTTGACCGATACCGTGTGTCTGTATATAGTTATGCATGTATGTGTGTGTTCATGTGTATGCATATAAAAGTTATCATTGTAGCATTAACAGAAGGACAGTTTCATATTAAAATGTCATTATTCAAATAATTTTCTCCTGGTGGGATCAGAGCTGTGGCTGTTTAGTAGCTGTGAAAATTGAAGTATGACTTGAATTAAGCACCCCAAATGTCTTGGCTCTGATATTGCTTAGCACTCACACTTGAGAATGGATTTGTAAGGTTTATTCATTTAGCAGAGTGTATATTATTTGAATGATGAACAATATTCCTGACAATGGGTTAGACACGTGGGGGAACTTGGGGAAAATACAAAGAAGTGTATGGCAGTTCTCAACCATGTGTTGCCTTTTCTGGAATTTTTCTACGCACATAAAATTTTTTTTAGAAAGTAACTATGTTAACCTCCATGGACACTGATTATCATACAGAAAATAAGTTTTTGATCAGCTCTAACTCTGAGAACTTGGTTTCCCTTAAAAGCATAACTTTGCACCGGTTTGAACCTCTGATGAGACTTTGCATTTCTAACAAGCTCCCCTTGCCCTCAAGTCAATTCCGACTCATAGCAACCCTATGGGACAGAGTAGAACTGCCCCACAGTGTTTCCAAGGAGTGGCTGGTGGATTCGAACTGCTGACCTTTTGGTTAGCAGCCAAATGCTTAACCGCCACTGTGCCACCAGGGCCCCAACAAGTTCCTAGGCAATGCTAATGCTGCTAGTTAGGGACCAATTCTGAGAACCACCAGTAGAGCAGTGGTTCTCAAAATTTATTATACATAAGAATCACCTGGGGTCTTGCTAAACTATAGATCCTGATTCAGTATATCTGGGGTGGAGATGCAAAATCTCAGCAGGGTTTCGACCCAAAACAAATAGTTTCCAAGCCCCCCTTATAAGCCTGTTCTGAAAGGTGTTGGCCAAGCAGCTGAGCCCAGGCTAGGCCGCACTGATTAGCCGACTTACTCACTGGCAGCTAAGCCAGGTTCACACCCTGTGTCCTGCACATCGCCTCTGAGGCCCCTGGGAGGAGCAAGCAACTCTCCCACAGAGCCAGAACCAAGCTGCTCCATGTGTTCTTTGCAGAGTCAGCCCCAGCTGTGAAGGCTGCCTGGTCTTCCCACTTGCTCCCTTTTTGCGAGCTTTCCTGGGGCATGCCCTCTGCATAGTCTGGGGGTGGGGGAGATCCAACTGGAACCAAACTGGAACAGCCCTTCTGCGGCCCTGCCAGAAATTTGCATCATAAAGGCCAAAGAGGCCAACCTTCCTAGGCTTTTTGTAAGGGGTTGTGTGGCAGAAAATTCCTCAAATAGTATCTGCCGCCTCCCCAGCCCCCTCTGCTTTGTCTCTGCATCATTGTCAAACACAGGGTAATGGAAGTGAGAAGGGATCACACAGCCTGTTTAGAGAAAAGATTCTCTTCCACTGTGGACAAGAATGCCATTCCTTGGGTGGAGGTGAGAGGCGTCTGGCCACTCTGAAACGTAAGCCTTTCCAGAATGATTTCCTTTTCTGGTCATGCTTCTTTAAAAAAAAAAAAAAAAAGTGGCTATATTGAAAGAGAGATTATTCAAGTTAGGAAAACAGACAAATCATGGCAACAAAAAGTTCTCTTTCTGCCTAGACTTAATCCGAAACCAAAGTGAGGGTACAAAAGTTGAGAAGTAAGACCCACCGTGACTCAGCACTGAATCTGTCCAAAGCTACGGTCCGCTAGAAGGCGTGGGATGCAAATGAAAACCTAAGGATGCTCAGGTCCCAGGCTAGAAAGTTATTTTGAAACTTTGCACTGACTACTTTATATACACACACATTTAGAAATTTAATTTTGAAGCAGCTTCAAACTTAGAGAAAAGTTTCAAGAACAGAACAGAGAAATCGTGTTTCCTCTTCGTCTAGAAACCTCATTCAAACTTCCCCAGACCTGTTGCTGTCGAGTTGATTCCGACTCATAGTTGTCCCAATTTAATCCTTTAATGAGAAGATTGTAACCCGAGTCAGCACCTGGAGCCCAGTTGTCCTGGCTCTCATCTCCCTTAATCTGTTCCTTAGTGGTTCCATGTCTTTCATGCCTTGGGCGTTTTTAAAGATTATAGGTCAACCATTTTGTACAATATCTTCTAGTTTGGGGTTTATTAAAAGGTCATTTTCAGGAAAAGGTAAAATAGTGACATTCATGCAGATGTAATAATGAACCCGTGTTAAAAGAATTTTATTTTACTCATGACATGAGAGAACCAGGCAGATGTCACAGTAGCTTCAAAGGAAAAGTCAAAAGCGTGTATTCATATAAAGGAATGTGAAGACGAACTGTAAGCAAGCAAGCAAGCTAGTACCTATTTTTAAAAGAAGGGCAGATAAAGGAGGGGGAGGGGAAGAGGAAGAGGAAGAAGAAGAGCTCTTTATATACATTTTTAACCCCA